AGCATGTATTTTATTATAAAAATAAACCTCATGGGCATAATTGTGAGCCAAACTATGGTCATGGTGTCCATGCATTGTCACACAAAGTTGGCACACCCACAATCTCACATCATGAAAAAACTAAGACTTTTCATTAAACCATTACCAAGTCTTGTACAGAATGGTGTTCTGGGTTAATAGTAGAAAATCGCACATTAGCAGAGTATTCCCTCCATTCAGGACTTTACATTTTAAGCCCAGCAATGTGCCAGAAAGTAGGGGTACTTTGATGAATTGCACAGTCATTGCCTTAAGGAAGGTGACAGTCCAGGAGAAGGCAGACATTAATGCTGGTGTAATATATTAGAAAGGCTTAATAGAATCAGTTTGGGGTCTATGGGAAAAGCATGGTCACATCTAATTTAAAGATACAGGAATCAGAAAAGCAAGAGAAGTCTCCTGGGGTAGAAGCTGAGTCATTGGAGCACAGAGGCTAAGGGAAGATCTGGGGAAGCAAACCAGGAGCAAAGATGGAGCATTTTTAACTCAAATGACAAGAGCAGAGCATGAAGGGTAAAGAATGTGGAATGAATGAGGGAGAGGCTGCCCTGGGGAGGTGCTAGGACTTACCCAAGTATGAAATACCCTCAGAGACAGGCTGAGGGACAGAAGGGAGGAGGAGAGCTCAGCAGAGTATAATTGGTTTGCACCTGCATGGGTTCATGCTGTGTAAAGTAGGCATTACAACCTTTCCATCACCTTGTTCTGACATTCTGTGACAACCACTGCAACTTAGTAAACATTCATTTCTACATGTCATCGGATTTAATTTAAAATTTTACTCTCAGCTGACATAAATAATAGAAAAATTGCATTTTAATGGTGTACCATGTAACATTTCAAGTACACATGTACGCTGTATACTATTTTAAAATTTAAATTACATTTTAAAATGAATTTTTACTTATTATTATTTGTGTGAACATTGTGTAGTGGCATGTGCCATGATGGAACAACTTTGTAGAGCCACTTCACATCTTTTACCTTTATGTGAGTTCTGGAGAATAAACTCAAGTCATTAGGCTTACATTGCCAATCACTTTACCATCTGGGTCATCTTAAATCAGGCAAAACACATCTATCTCCTTAAACATTTATTCACTTATGATAAAAAGAAATTCAGAAATGCTTTGGTGTAGTCTTTTGAAATGCACAGAGTGTTATCATCTGCAGTTAACAACCTCGACGTCTTACTCCTACTTAACTGTAAGGCTCTGTCCATTTATCCACCTTTCCCTGACCCTCCACCACTTGGACAGAGGCTACATGTAAAGGGATCATGTTTTTCCTGTTTCCAGGTGTCAAATGCATACATTACCAGAGGTCTCCCACATGCAGTTTTGTCTCTGCAAGCTGGTATGGCTGAATGATCATTGTCTTTGTAAACTTCCCTTCAGAGTATTTAAGTGGGGCTAAGCTGGCAGGCTGAGCATGCACGGTCCTGAGGAACTGAGTTCAACTGCTTTTATGTTCAGAGCCATGATTATGTCTTGATTTATGAGCTTCTGTTAACTGAAAGAATGAAGACAGAATCAGGCTTTGAAAATAGTTATCAGTTAACTACTAAATTGTTTATATGTTCTCAGCCTTTGGATTCATGTGTTTCTTTTGCCAATTAAAAGATACCTGAATAGGGCTGGAGAGATGGCTCAGAGGTTACGAGTACTGACTGCTCTTCCAGAGGTCCTGAGTTCAATTCCCAGCAACCACATGGTGGCTCACAACCATCAGTTATGAGACCTGGTGCCCTCTTCTGGTGTGCAGATATACATGTATACATAGTAAATAAATAACATCTTTAAAAAAAGATAGCTGAATAATCAAATGGTTCATATTTTCCCCTTTGTTAAATAAAGGCAAAAGAAGTATTGGGATTTGAGAGAGAGCTAATTATATTTGATGTTTACATATAAATTTTGGTTGCATTTTATTTTTCTTTTAGTCATCAAATGTATTTTGTAAGGAAATATAAAAGATGGGCCATTTAATAATGTGATAATTATTGCTGATACCAAATATAATCTAAGGAAATGGATCCCTATTAGAAGTATATTCACAGATGTCATTGTTGGTTACCATGGTGATTATTCAAAACACCAAATGTACCAAATGTTTACCAAATGTACCAAAAAAGTTGGTGAATATTGTTTTCCATGTATAGAAGATAATTGTATATTTTTGAAAACTTGAGGGAAAATGTACATTGTTTTAGGTCACAGTTAGTTATGTTATTCAACACTCTAATGGTAAATCAATTGTGAGGTTTTTTTGCATGCATGCGTTTGCAATTCTCTCTCTCTCTCTCTCTCTCTCTCTCTCTCTCTGTGTGTGTGTGTGTGTGTGTGTGTGTGTGTGTGTGTGTGTATATTCAGGTATATATGTGTGTTTTGGGTACACCTCTATACATGTGCATGTAGAGGTCAGAGGTCAAATCAAGTGTCTCCTTCAACTCTTCTCCATCTAATTTTTTCTTTTTTTTCTTTTTTCTTTTTTTTTTTTGAGGGATTCTCTAACTGGGCTAGCCTAGCAGGCCAGGAAGACCCAATGGTCTTCCAGTCTCTGCCTTCTCATCATGACTGCTTTTTCAAGCAGGTACTTGGGATCTTAATTCAGGTCCTCCAACTTTTGTGGTAGTCATTTTATCAACCTAGCTTCTACCCAGCCCTTGGATTGTAGCTACAAATGGTGCTGGATATAAACACTTATTTGTCTGAAATTTAGCATAGACTTCCTAGAATTGAAGAATAAATAGAACTGTATAGAGTAGAACACATTTGAGTGACTATCTTGCTGTCTGTGTTTCTCCTTTTTCAAAAGTAGTCGGAATGCATTTTATGATTCTTTTGTTTTCATCTAGGGGAATAGTTGAACTCAGGACTCAAAGACATTTATAGTTTGCTAGGTCCTCCACAGAAAAGTATTACAGACTGTGGAACTTAGTCTTCCCCAGGGAAGAACTTCTAAGTTGTTTTTCAAATTCTAGTAGTCAGTCTTGAACTCACATTTATACAAGTAACTTTATACAGACTGAGCAGGTTTTTTTGTATTTATGTATTTTTTGTATTTATGTATCTATGGTGTGTGTGTGTGTGTGTGTGTGTGTGTGTGTGTGTGTGTGTGTGTGGCATTATGTACTGTATGTGTAACAATTTTAAAAAGTCATGAATTTGAGAGAGAGCAGGGGGAGTATATGGGAGGCTTGGAGGAAGGGAAGGAGAGGGAAAATAGGTAATTGTATTTTAATACAAAGATTTATTAAAAAGTAGAAATTCATGTTCTCACTAGTTCTACAGCTAACAATCCAAACTAAGAGTGTTGACAGCATTGGCATTTCCTGAGATCTGCTTCTTTGGCTTACAGATGACAGCTTCTCTATTTATCTTCACAGATACATTAGTTGATTTTCTCCAGAGACACAAGACATATGTGTATATGTGTGGGGGGGGACAATAATACATATTTTGTGTGTTTATAGATATTTTACATGTGTATAGGATATGGTAGTTAGATGGCTAGATAGATGAAGATAGATGGTGATATGTAGATAGATACACAGATTTTACATAGAGAGATAAATGATAGATGGTAGATGGATAGGTAGGTAGGTAGATGGATGGAGGGATAGACAGAGATAGATAGATAGATAGATAGACAGACAGACAGACAGACAGACAGACAGATAGATAGATAGATGATAGATTTCTTTTTAGAGACTGGCTCACATATTGTGGAGGCTTGAAATGAAATGAACATGAAGAAATGAAAAATCTACAGAGCAGACACTCAAGGAAGAGTCACAACTGAAGGCAATGCAATCTGTGGACTGAATTACTCCTTGCTTTGAAGAGATCTTTGTTCTAATTCAGCTTCTTCAGCTGATTGGATGATGCCCAACCACATTGGGAAAGCAACCTGCTTTACTCAAATCCCACTGATTTAAATGTTAATCTCACACAAAAAACATGCTCACAGAAACACCCAGAATGTTTGTTCAAGTATGTAAGTAGTAAGGCTTGGACAAATCGACACATGAAACGAAATACTTTATCTCTGCTTTTCTTTGTAGCTATCTCAGTCCAAATTGCTCTTGAGTGTAGACTAGTCATATTTGATCAAAATCCTCTACAGTGACTTCATTTTAAGACTCCATTTTTTCAATATAGTCATGGACTAAAGTTCTGGGGGTTGGAACCTGAGCAGAGAATGTTTAGGGTCATAAATCTGCCCCAAATAGCATTAATTTCAAAGTAAGCTGAAAGGCAATTCAATGCAGAAAATGTTCTTCCTTTTACTAGAAATGTATTCTTAATCTAATCTTGGAGTGATGTATTTGCAAGCACTCACATAAGCCACTAAACCAGACTAGAATGTCGTCTCTGTGTGTGTGTGTGTGTGTGTGTGTGTGTGTGTGTGTGTGTGTGTGTGTGTGTATTCTTTTTTTACATTTCTTCAGGCAAGAAGCCAATTTTATTTTACCAAGTAAGTGTCACCTATATATTATAACAATTATTGATTAGGTTTAAGGAAAGACTATTTTAATTTCTGGGTCTTCACTGTTTTTCATTGTGTACTTTTTATTTCAAATCAGAGAGCAATGGATATTATATTTTTATTGTGCCTTATGAAATCATTTGAGATCACTATTAAAAAACAGAGTTTCTGCTACCCTTCCTCTGAGCAGTGTAAGAATTAAGCAATAGGAAAAAAGAGAAATATACAGTGGGAAATTACTGGAGCAAAGATTGGGGCAAATTAACAAGTGGTTATAAAATGAGGGTAAATTTGAAACCATACCATCCTTAGTTCTCTCATGCCTTATGTAAAATCTAGCATTATATTGTCTTTGTCTTTTTTTTTTTTTTAATCAATATCTTGGTTTCTCAGCGCTCTCAAACTCACTTACCCAAGAGGTCAAATGTGTTTCTGTGTCTGGCGCTAATGATCTCATTTCTTCTTTTCAGATAAGAAAGAGCTGTTCCTCTCCAAAGTTGTTCACAAGTCCTTCATCGAGGTTAACGAAGAAGGGTCAGAGGCAGCTGCAGCCTCCGGTAGACACTAAGTCATTTTCTGAGCTCTTTGACTTCTCCAAAATTTCTGGTTTTAAAGAATCCTGGGTGGAATTGGAGATCCCTTTTTGAAACCGTACCAAAGACATCATTCTTTTCTGAGTCAGAAGTCAAGCGAAAGCTAAAGCAGTCAGAGCATTTTCAGTAGAATGTGAAGTGTGCCGTAGGTCCATGTCTAGTCTCCCAGTGAGGCATTGCATGGTGACAGCTCTAAAAGATGATCCCCCTTTTGCACTGTTTGCACAAATATTGTCAGTATTCGCCTAGTGGGTATGCAAACATTTTGCCTTTCTAATTACTCTTGGAAGTTAGTTCTTAACTTCTGTCTGTGGAAAGTTGGTTTTGAAAAATTACATGTACAAACAAGAGTTGATAGACAAAAAAAAAAATGCTTTTAAGTACCTTTAAATAATAATAGCTATAAGATAATGATTTCCAATAGGCAAAATTTTAAATGGGCCGGGCGTTGTTGGCGCACGCCTTTAATCCTAGCACTTGGGAGGCAGAGGCAGACGGATCTCTCCGAGTTGGAGGCCAGCCTGGTCTCCAGAGCGAGTGCCAGGATAGGCTCCAAAGCTACACAGAGAAACCCTGTCTCGAAAAACCAAAATAAATAAATAAATAAATAAATAAATAAATAAATAAATAAATAAATAAATAAATAAATAAATAAATAAATAAATAAATAAATAAATAAATAAATAAATAAATAAATAAATAAATAAATAAATAAATAAATAAATAAATAAATAAATAAAATTTAAATGGACATAGGTTCCATTTCCAGGCTAATAGTCCTCCATTATTTTTGTGTGTGATGAATATATGTTTAAGTGTACACCCATGTATGCATGTATGCTTATGTGGGGGTGATTGTAATGCAGAGGTTGGGCATTCTCCATCTCATTTTCTTGAGGTGATTTTGTCACTGAATCTGGAGCTTACTGATTCGGTTAGACTAACTGGCTAACAAGCCTCAGAGAAGCAGTCTACTTCCCCATCACTGTCATTGAAGTGCAGCCGGCTACTATGCATAGCTTTTTGCCTGGATACGGAGGACCTGAATTCAGGTCTTCACAGTGGTGGGGCAGGAACTTTGCTGACTGAGGCTTCTCCCCACCCCTACCTTTGATCATTTTGACAGCTGTGATTTCACTAGATCACCCAGTATGACTTTACCATTGCATTTCCAGTATCCTCTTGCTCATTAGGATTGCTTCCATTGCATGTTGAACAGATAAGATTGAATTTCATAAACTTTCTATTACCTGGTAATTTATTAGCTGACTGACATGTATTATTTCTGACCTCCTCAGTGATAATAGTAATTTCAAGAGGAAAAGGAAGCAGTCTTAGGTGATCAAAAAAGATTAAAATCTCAGATAACTAATCAGACTGTAGCAAATAGGAACTTGGGAGACTGAATACCCTGCTTGCTGTTGAATTTTTGTTTTGTTTTGTTTTTGTTATTTTGTTTTTTGAGACAGGGTTTCTCTGTGGCTTTGGAGGCTGTCCTGGAACTAGCTCTTGTAGACCAGGCTGGTCTCGAACTCACAGAGATCCACCTGCCTCTGTCTCCCGAGTGCTGGGATTAAGGTGTGTGCCACCACTGCCAGGCTGGCTGTTAAATTTTCATTTGTCACTTCATCCTGGTCATTACTGAAACCCACAGAACTTCAAAGTACAACACTTAACTACAGGCAACAGAAGTAACTAGAAAATGTGAAAGACTGCCTTCACTTTGACAATTCTTTCTTTTCTCCCTTACTGTAATTGAAAAGGCAGTTTAATTAAAGCACAAATACTTGTCTTAGAGTAAGAATAACATTTTTTACAACAGGCAGAGTAAATTACCATACAAATTTTTGATGGTTTAGAGGGAAGAAATGACTTGTATATGTGTTGTGATTGTTTTTTTCTTTAAAATATTATGTATAAATATTAACACCTTCAAAAAATTTCTGTCTTATAGTCCTGGTTTTCTGTAGATTGTTGCTTTTTCATTAAATGAATAGACATAGATTGTTTTGAAAAATTCTCAGGAGTCTGAGTATTTATGTATCCACAGACATGTAATTGCTTTCTCTTTGTACCATAGGAATGATTGCAATTAGCAGGATGGCTGTGTTGTACCCTCAGGTTATTGTGGACCACCCATTTTTCTTCCTTATTAAGAACAGGAAAACTGGTGAGTGTGTTATGTGAATACATTATTTCATAAGCCACAAAAGCTTTCTGTTTCAAAATGATACATATTTTTAAGATTGTTTCCAATGTTCTTATGCTTTTAGAAAATTAAGATATTGTATATTTTTATTTTTATACATTATTAGTTGCATGCGTGTGGGAAATATGTATCCCATTGTTTTGTTCACTCTTCTCTTTTGTTCACTTCCAACTTAATGCAGGTACAATCTTGTTCATGGGACGAGTCATGCACCCTGAAACGATGAACACAAGTGGACATGACTTTGAGGAACTTTGAATGCTGACATTTGAAGAAAAAGAAAGCAGTAATAAAGCACATTTTGTTTGCAATTGGTATATAGTTAGGATTGTCGCTTTACAGCATTATTTAAGGTAATATTTAAAGTAGTTCCGAGTAGAAGTAATACATGTGACCTATAATTCAGCCTGTCAAGAAATGTTACCAGTATTAAAATTATGGTCCTGTTGTGTCATTGTGTCTGTTGTACTGTTGTTTAAAATAAAAGTATATATTGCGCTTGTGAGCATTTTTTTTCACTTTGGAGGTAGTTGTAGTCTGCAACACCACTATAGCTGAAATTTGGAAACTGTGTTGTTTCTTTAGGAATTGTACAACGTAAATGATCCTGCAACGTAAAATGTAGAAACTGCTGTTTCTGAGTGTCTTCATAATCATGCAGAATGAACACCAAAGTGAGCAGCATACATGTAGATAATAAGCAATAATGTGAAGTGGAGACAAGTAAGCCACAAAAATTGGAACTGTCATTTACTGTAGGGCTCCATAGCAAAACTTTTAGGAAAAATTTGGGCTATGTAAAGCCTATAGATGTTACTGATTTGTGTCTATACTGTAGTTTATTCCTTTTAAGTAGTCACTAACCTGTTATATTTATTTTTTAAAGTTTGATTAGCATCTGTGTGCCACATGACTCTGGTAACAAGCTCAAACATCATATTAGCCCCTCCTGATGACATCAAGGGGTCCTGTGAATAGATTGACTTGTACCATTTAAGTATGATACTTCTTTTGATGTTACCAGAAAGATGAAATCACCCAGTGGCACATTTCCTAGAATATATCCAAGGCATCAAGTGATACATTGATATACCAGCTACTTAGATGTCTTTACTTTATAGAAAAATCACCGGTCAATGCATCATATGGAATTAGTGCATCTCAAACTCAGTGTGTGATGCTGTCACCTGGTCAGTTATTACAAATGCAGGTTCTTATCCAGGATGTTTAAGATAATATGGGGACAATACCTTTTTAACAAGCTCCCAAATGATGTCATGGGTGTTGGAACTTGGGCTTTGCTGTTTGTCATTGGGGTAGCAAAATTCTACTTACTGTAAGTATCACATGTTTGATATTAATATGAATACATGAAAAAAACCTTTAATTTTCACTGACTGAACTTGGAGGGAACCAGGATGGGAGCAGGATGTCATCTGTGTTAATAATACAATGCCCTTGTCAAGAATTAGTGTGACTCTAAAGTTTTTTTAAGAACATACTATAGATAAATGTGAGATTCTTCTGCATATTACAACACTTGAAATACAGTCTTTAAAAATATGGAGACATTTATAGGCAATACCCTTGAAAGAATTTATGAATATCCAAGGACACAGTATTTAACAGTGAATCTTTTACAGCTTAAATTTTCAGAAGACTTGCAGTTTATTCATAAATCTTGATGTTATTGTAGAATAGTGTTCTTGTTTTCATTTATAATTTATGTAGCTGTGATGGCTGATGTTGATTCAGCATTCACATTTTAAGCTAAGACAGTATTTGTCACTGTATCCTTCTTGTGAATATTACTCATGTGGCTATGCCTATGTGTTCATCAGTTAACTAAATGTATTGCCTGTAAGGAAGAATAAACATCATTATGCAATCACATGATTCTACAAAGTCCCCAAAGCTATTTTTTATTAACAGATATATGATCAAGTTCTTCTATTTGGAATATTTATCTTAAAATGTTTCAATATAAGTTAGGTGTTACCTAATTGAAAATGGATGTTCTCATACTGGTGGAAAGCCTTGAAATAATATGTTACAACACCAAGTTTTTTCTTTTATTAATTTAGTGTGTGTGTGTGTGCATGTGTGAGTGCATGTGCGTGTGCATGTGTTTGTGCATGTGTGTGTGTGTATGTGTGTATGCATGCTTGTATGTGTTTACCAGAGAACAGGCATTCATATGCCACAGTTTGCATGTGGAGGTCAGAGGACAAATCGGAGGAATCGGTTGCCTCTTTGCACCTTGGGATGCCAGAATCACACTCAAATTGTTAGAATTGTGCAAGAAACACTTGCATCCATTGGGTCTCACTTGCACTCAAGGTTTTCTGTTGTCATCACTTTGCTTTTAATTTTCTCAATAGATTTCTTTTGTTGGAAAGATAACAATGAATCATTCCTAATGGTTTTATTTTCTTTAATTACAATGGATAATTACTGTAGGTGCATGCTCAAGCAGACACAAATGCATACATGCATGGAAAACACTTTTGTTCTGTGAACTTTTGTTTTGGAGGAAATCAGCAATCTTTCTGAATATGTTGATGTTAGCTGAAATTCTTATGTTAGTTATTTGTGTGTATGCAACAGACTGGACTGAATAGTTATAGACAATACAATCCTATATACTTGAATACTACCATTATGACCAAACAGATATTAAAATAAGTATTATACAAATACTTATTTGAAATATCCATTTCATAAGAACATTGAAAATAAAAAGAAAATGCAGTAAAGAGCATACTTCATTCTCATTAAATATGCATGGTATACATAATACAATTCACTGATTTTTGATATATAATCAGTTTCTTTAATTTTTAATGGTAGTAATTTTTCTTATCTGAAAACCTGTTTTATTTTTTCTCTAAAACAAAAGTAGTGGCAGAATTTCACTTACTAGCTGAAGGCAAATTAAACCAGTTAAAACTTGTCTTTGTAAAGTAAAGGTCTTTGCTGCAATTTTGAGCAAAGTTAAAATACAATTTCAAGAATAAAAGAAGTAATAAGAAAATATTGTTGATGAAAACTCTGTAAATTTGCCCTGCTCTCAGAGCCTCATGAAATCCTGATCCATTACAAAGGGATTCTTCTAAAAGCAGACACAATGCAAGATTCTTCAGTTTAATGATTAATTGAGGAGAGACTCAATGAAACATCCTACCAAGGTGCCAAGTCAGCTAGAAGCTTCCAGGAAACCTAACTCACCTGTTAATATTCTCGTGCACAATAAAAAAGTAGTTTGTAATACATACAAAGAAGTAATGTATACAGACTGAGCAGGTTGTGCTTAGGAATATATATGTATATGCATATGCAAACATTCTTCCAATAAAAATTAATGAAAAAAGAGGCCAATAATTTGAAATAGAGCAATGAAAGTGTATATAGGAGGATTTGGAAGGAGGAGAGGAAAGGGAGACATTAAGTAATTATATTATAATCTCAAAAATTGTTGGACTAAACTCAAGACAAATCTCTAATTGACATAAGCATACAATTAAAACGAACTTCCAGACTTGGGTGACCATGGGTCCAACATAATGAGACTCAGGGTTTTGTCTCTAAACCATGATAGAATCATGAAGGGTGTGTGATTTCAGGATAGGGGACACAAAGGAGCAAAGGTAAAATAGGCAAATTTAGAGTAAGCAGTTACAAGCTTTTACTATTTGATTTCTGGCCTACTTACAAGTCACGTTTTATTCAAAAAGATTTAGTTATTTTCCTTCTTTAAAATTGAACCGGTAAAGTGGCTGATGAGAGCAGAGACAGACATCCACAGAAATACACTGAGCTGAAATCTGGAACTCAGTTGAAGAGAGGGAGGAATGAAGAACGAAGGGGTCTGTACCTGGTTGGAGAAACCCACAGAAACAGTTGGCCTGAAAAAGGGAAAGCATATCGACCCCAGATGCTCTTTGGGAGGACAGTACAGGACTAATCCAGCCCCCTGATCATGGAGGCCAATGGGGAGGCCCCTGCACTCCTGGGAGCCTCTGGAGGTGGACTGGTGTTTTGCCCTGGTGGGTGGGAGGGACTTCGAGAGCCCATCCCACTTGAAGGGATTCGCTCTGTCTCTGAACACATGGGGAGGGGCCTAGGCCCAGCACAGGAAGATTTGGTGGACTTGGTGGAACCCTGATATGGGGGTGGGGGGAGGGAGAGGGAGAGGGAAAGTATATGTGAAAATATTAATAATTTAATAAAAAAAGAAAAAAAAAAGAAAAAAAAATTGAACCGGTAAGTCTTTCCATTATTCTCTTGTTAGGTTGTGCGTCTTCATGTGTGTGTGTAGATATGTGCATCTCAGTGTATGTCTCAGGGTATGTGTCTTTGCCTGTGTGTTTCAATATCTGTGTCTTTGTGTATCTCAATGTAAGTGTGTCTCAGTGTATGTTTCTCAGTATGAGGGTGTATCTGTGTATGTGTGTGTGTCTGTACCTCTGTCTCTGTCTCTGTCTCTGTCTCTCTCTGTCTCTCTCTGTCTCTCTCTGTCTCTCTGTGTGT